ATATATATGTATGTATGTATGTATAGTTATACTCTGTTTAGGGAATGCTGGCAAGAAAGGTCTGCACATTTGGTACAGATAGTTTCTTTCCTGAATATTTTTGATTTACAATTTATTAAATCCATGGATGCAGAACTCCACAGATATAAGGGATGACTGTATACAGCCATATATTTGTATCCTAATGCAATATGGAAATGGTTTGTTTTCCCTCTGTTTGTCCCTTGTCACTGATTATTTCATACACTTTTGAACAAAAAATTTTTGCATCTTCCACTCGGTGATACTCTGCCTCCCATTTAGTTGAGAAGTAGTCCTCTCCTCTACACTCCTCTTCCTCAAGATGTCTTCATTATGGGGAGCAACTTTGCCAAGTAAGCTGTTACCGTCTCTGCTAGACACTCCCTAGGGAATAGCCACTATGTTGTTATCTAGAAATATAGTAGGGTTGGCACATTAGAAAATGGATGTGGTGGTACACCCCTGCAATCCCAGTACTTTGGACCCTATTTGAATATAAAAAGTAAAAAGGACTGGGGATGTAGCTTATTGCAAAGGTCCTTGGTTCAATTCCCAGTACCCGAACAAGTAAAGTATAAAATACAAAATAAACTAAATTTTTATAAATTCAAATAAAAGTAACATCAATTGTTACATATATTGGGAGGAATAGTCAGATTAATGTTGCAGCCACCTAAGTTTAAGTAAGATTCCCAGAACTGAAATAGCTTTGTCTACAGCCAGAGATTGCTTTATTCTACAAATTATGCAAGTCTATTTGACTTGTAGAAAAGCACTCTGGGTGTGTTTAATTTATTCTAAGTCACATTTTCTGCATTTATTTTTAAAATGCAATTTAAAATATTCTGACAATGGATTTTAAATTAAGAGATCAAGAATTTGGATTTGCTTGTCTGCTGTTTGCATCTAGTTTTAATTGCATTTTCTAATAATTTGTTGGGTGTGGAATATTTGCTGTATTTTCCAAAATGTACAGAGAACCATAGATATAAGGCCCTGATGAAACTCATGGGCTGTTTGTGTATATTCCTATAAAGGAGTTAAGTCCCTAGAAGTTTTTAAAGATTAATATGGAATAGAAATCTCACAAGTAAATTTGTGGTAACTGATGAAATGTGTGTGGTGCCAGGGATCGAACATGGGACCTTGGGCTTGGGAGGCAGGCGACAGAACCACTCAGCCAAATCCCTAGTCTATCTCTGTATTATTTTTAAATGTATTTATTAAGTGTCTGGTATACCACACATTGTTATGCAAACAGAGGAGGAGCAGTGAGCAAAAGCCCACCTTGGTTCTCCCAAAGCTTATAATCTGTTGAGTAGAAATAGATAATAAGCAAATAAAAAAAGGTAATATGATTGTTTTTGATTAGTGGAAGAAAGTTAAAATAGGCTGAAGGGAGTACAGAGTGAATTGGGCTAGTTGAGATGGAGAACAGCTGGATGTGTGTTTTCTGTAGGGAGCTCAGGGAGAGAGTCCATAAATACGACCTTGGGAAGAGACTGAAAGGAGTGGTAGAGTGGGCCAGGCTCTCAATATTGGAGAGCATTCCACGAGGAAGGAAAAGCAAATCCAAAATCCCTGGGATTGTATCTGAGGAAGCTGGTGTGACATGAAAGGAACAAACAAGAAATGGGAGGATATGAAAGCAGAGAAGTTTAGGAGATCAGATTATGGATGGTCTTGGTATGCAAAGGATGTTGGCTGTGAGATAGAGAAACACTGGAAGATCTGAACAAAGGATGTGACTCACAATTTAGGAAGATCATTCTAGTTCCTACAGTGAAAATATATCGCAGGGGATGTGATTAGGTGTTCACTGGAGTAATTTAGGCAGAAGATGGCACAATTTTGGACAGTAGAAGTAGTAAAAAGTAAATGGAATCTATTTTAAAGACAGATTCCAGAAGTTTGAAATGCTGATAATTTAAATGAATGTGACAGAGTCAGGATATCTCTTTAAAATTTGGACTCTTACTTAAAGTATAGAGTTCCCATTTGCTAAGATAGAAAGTATAATAGAAAAGCAAGTCTGCATAGGAGAGGTGTTAGATTTCAGACTCCTTAGGCCTAAGATGCTATTTATACCTCCAATTAGAGATATCAACTAGGTTGTTCACTGAGGCTGGAGTTCTGGGAGAAGGGATCAGGCCAGAGATATAAGTCTGGGAATCATCAGCAAATCAGTGGCATTTAAAATCATTATTCTGAATGAGATCATATCTTAGTTACTTTTCTAATTGCTGAGTCAAAGTACCAGACACCCAAAGCTAAAGAAGGGAAGATTTATTTCAGCTCACAGTTTGTAGAGGTTGGCGGGCTCCAAGATCGGGTGATGTAGCAGGAAGGTATCATAGAGGAGAAATAGACCATGGCAAACAGGCAGGAGAAAGCAAAGCAGCAAATAGTAGCAGCAAGCCTTCCTTCCTCCTCTCCTTTTATAACCCACCCAGGCTGTAAGTCTATTGATTGGTGCCACCCATAGTGGGGCTTCTGTTATCCACTCCCAGAACTATGCTAATTCCAATCCATGGACTAATCCAGTACCACACACCCTTAATCCTACTATCACACTGAATCTACATTCACACATCCTAGATCCAGCTATCTCCAAAGAGCCCCACCTATGAGCGCATGAGGCTTTGGGGCATCTAGATACAAGCCATAACAGATTACTTAGGATGTGAGTAAATAGAGAGATGTTTCTGACAGTTCAGCCCTGTTGGGCTTCAGCATTTAGAAGTGGGTATGATGAAGAGGGAGGGAATTGATAAAGCAGATAGAAAACTAGTGATCAGTGATGTAGGAAGAGTAACAAGAGAGTGGAGAATTGTAAAAATTCCTTTAAAATATATAAATTTGGTAGCCAGTTTTTCATTTTATGTGTAGTCTATTGGAAAAAAATTATTCTATGGCTATTTTAACTGAGCCATACCTTCCTTTCAACCCACAAATATCAGTAATTTCTTTGGGTTTGGTGAGATTGTGCAACCAAAGTTTGACTATTCCATATGTACCCTCACACGGTGGAGAGCAGAGAAGAAGTAGCAGCACCATGTTCCCTCTGCTAAGTGTGAGAGGCCACCTTCAGTTATGTTCACCTGATTCCCTGACTCCAGGCCTCAGCCTAGGAAATTGAAAGAAGCTCTATTTGCAAGGAAAGATCTAATTACATTTCTTCCTCTTTGTAAAAGTTCTACGTATATAGTTTTAACAGCTAGAGTCATTGCTGGAGGTACTGATTAATTGATGAATAAAAGAAAAGATGGCGTTCGTGCTCTAACATAGATTCTTATTTTCTGTCTTCATTGCAGGGTCAGAGACATGCTGACTGATGAGATCACCAAGACTGCTGCGAAGTAAGACTCATTTAATTTCTTACCAAAACATTTTCATAAATACTTTCTTTCCTGGCAGATACATATAGCTTACCTTCCTAAGGCATTTCATAATTTTAAGGATTATAAAATATTTTTCAATTTTGTTTACAAGAATCAGTGGCTGCCCTGTATCACACAGATTCCTATACATCTTTTCATGCAAATGTGGGGGGACTGCTACAAACCTATGACTACTTCAAGAGTTGCTGAGGCTGCTTGTCAGACACTGGACAAAATGCCACATGCTTTGTCTTAAATTTAAAGGATTATAGTTTTTTTTTCAGGGCAGAGAGAGAAAAGGAAATTCTAGAGAATGTGAGATACATGGGGTCTACAAGTAGATTACAGAATTTGAGCTGTGCAACAACAAACGTATCAGAGTAGAACTTCTTAATTTTAAGACCTCCTTTCATTTCCTTAAGGTTACTGAGCCCAGTGTATCTAAGACTGAAAGTTAAAATGGTAGTTTCAGTCATATCCTAATGTATGTTCTAACAAAAAAAAATTTTTTTTTTGGTACCAGGGATCAAACTTGGGCCCTTGTGCTTTTGAGGCAGGCAGCAGAACCACTGAGCCGAATCCCCGGCCCTAACAAAAATTTTTTGACTGTTACTGCCTTGAGTCTTTTTATTTACCTGAAGCCAGCTATTACTAGGAAAATTATACCCTCATGTACTTGCTTGAGCAATCTCTTTAGACTCCTTTTGTTAACACGTTGATTAATTGTTCCTGGCAGTAAGTTACATCTCAGTTTTATTCACTTTCCCCTCCCCAGCACTGTTAGCTGTTGCCATTTGTTTAACTTCCTTTTTTTAGTTTCCAAAATAATATAGATACATCTTTGATCTAGAGGATTTCATGTTTAATTAAAAAGTGCATATGAATCTCTATCTATATTCCAGTACCTCCCATAGTTACAACTTGCATAAAAGGGTATTTGACATTCTCAGGGAAAGAAGGAAATATTTTTTTTCATTAAAATGATACTCATTTATTTAAAATTTAATTGCAGTATTATTTATCCTCATTTCTCAGAACCTCCTGTGGCTAAGTAGATTTTGACTTAAAAATATAAAAAGGCAAAAACAAAAGTATGATCTACCTTAAAGCTTTCTACTAGTAATTTCTTTTTGTTTTTGTTTTTGGTTTTTTTGTGGGGGTATGGGGATTGAATTCGGGTCCTTTTTTTTTTTCTATTGTTCAGTGTACTTTTATCCTATTAAAAACAGTGCTCTGACATTTGTAGCAAAAAGCTTGACTCCTGAAGAAACGAGAACTTTTAAGCTATAATTTTGCCTCTCTAGTATTTTTGCACTTCCTATTGTAAAATCTTAGTTCAATATGGCTTTATCTTCAGATTTACAAAGCATCACTTTGTGAGTGATACCTAAAGAGAGTGTGTTCACCTTTGCAGTGGTGTGGAGTAAAAATAACTCATGTTCTCTTGGCTTCAGTACCTTTTCATCAAAACTTTCAAAGTATTTCATAGACCTTGTCTCATTACAGCAATCTTGATAGTACTAGGGGTGACAGCAAGTGAGGAGTTCATGCTTGTGGCTGAGAGACCACTAAAGCAGCAGGGGAGAAGCACAGCCATTTCTCTGCTTTTTCCTACTGGTTTCTTCCTACCACCTTCTGACAACTGAGCTTTGGGTTCCTTGGACTGTGACTACCACAGGCTTTTCAGGACCAGGGATAGACTTGTTCTGTTCAGTCACAAGTTAAGTGCAGGAAGTAAAACACTAGTTATGAGGTTAAACTGATTTGCTTATTTGAGAGCATTTTTCAAGCCTCAGGGTTAGAATTGAGGAAGAATCAGAACACAGATAAGACATGATTGATGAAAATTTGTTTACATTGTTATTAATTAAGTAGATTTGAACCTAAAGACAAAACTCTCCAAGTGATTGGGTCACCTTAATAATATGCTATGTAATACTTTGTTCCTAAGAAAGCATCATTGAAGCTTATCCTCCTTGTGCTTAATTAGGTTAATGACATCAGTTTGTTCCAAAGGACGATTTAATTAAAATATCAGTGGTGTTGCCTAGATAACTACTGTACTGATGCTGACACATTATTATGCAAATTATTCACTAGTTGGGGAATAGATAGTTATTTGGGTAGCAGGGTGATGGACCAGTTGTAGGTTTTTACCCGGGCAGCTCCTCTTTAAGTTTATTCTCCTAAAAAGTATGTACACTAAGTCATTGTGCTGGGCACATAAAGAAGGCAAAAATAATCAGTAGCTAGTTGTGTTCAGAATGTGTAGCTTGGCCTACAGGTGCTCTGCATACAGTGGAACTTTTTTTTGTTGTTGGTATTTAAAGATGAATATCCAAATATGCATTCACTTTGTAACCAAAAATCTAATTACCGGTGGCTTTGAATACATTTTCCTTCATTTTTCAACATATATAGATGCTCAGGTATGTCCAGACTAGAGAACTTTGGAAATAAAATGTTTTGGAGTACTGTTTTAAAACTGAAAGCGAAGGGCCGAGGATCTGGCTCAGTGGTGCCACCACCCGCCTCACAAGTGCAAGGTCCTCAGTTCAATCCCGGGTACAAAAAACCCCCAAAACTGAAAGTGAATTCTCTTTCAGAATTTCAGGGTTTAAAATATACTCTTCATGTCTTTTTGTGTAATGTCCTTGTTTAATTTCAAGCAATCGTATGTTTTCTGCATGATGATAAAGACTGGGGATCTAATTCTCAAATCACAGAATTGAAAACTTAAAAAACAACCCTATTATTAGGGAATTAATGTTAATTTTGTAGCAACTCAGGCCTCAAAATATTCTCAGTTAAAAGAAAATGTACAGATTGAGTACCCCTTATGTAAAGTGGTTGGGCTAGAAGTGGTTCCGATTTCAGAGCTCCTCAGATTTTGGATATTTGCATAGACTTTATAAATTGAGCATCCCTAATCCAAAAAGTTCCAGAGTCCAGAACTACATTGTCACTCAACTTGTATTAGGAATACTGTAAAATGCTTAGTTTTGTTTTTGTTAAATGATGTTCTGGCCTAAATTCTCCCTTGCTTTGTGGTATTTTGTGATTAACTGTGTTAGTGTTAACACAAAACTTAGAGTGGAGCCATCTGCTGAGACCTCAAGGCTCCCCATTTTCTCTTTTCTCACTCCTCAGTAAGAAGGCCAGTATCATACTACTTTATGGCAGGTCTCATAGAAGAGTGAATTGATGAGGGGTGAACAAAAGGAGCAAGTGTGCAGTATGGCGTCAGAATTGGGGGGTCGTAGGGAAGGGGAGAGACTGATGAATAGGTAATTGGAGGGGCTCGATGATGGCAGGTTGTGAATTCCTTATTATCAAATGGAAGCAAAAATACAAAATACATGCATGGAGCAGCCTTTTGCCCATGCACTGTTTCACCTGGTGAGCTGTGTCCATGGATTGAGTGTGGAGGTAGGTACGAGGCTTGCATGGAGAGCAGGACAGAAAGTCCTCATCCCACACACCTGTTCCGGTCCCATGCTGGCATAGGTATGGTTCTTGAATGAATACAGTGGACTTCAGTTCAGATCTCAAGTCAAGAGTCTGTGTGTTTAAGAGAACACACAGTCCTAAGCCTGAGAGCAAAACCGTACTGATGGTGCCCTGGTGCCTGAGCTCTGCTGGCCCACAGCATCTCATTAGTGGCTGACTGGGCACTTTCTTCTGTAGGGTCAGCTTGGCATTATGGAATCATTCTAAAATGTGCGATTTTAAGTACCGAATAAATAGGAAAAAATTTAGTGTTCTTGATGCCAAATTCTGAAATCAAAATAAAATTTTTTATTGCTACTATTAGAAAACTCATTTGAATTTTATGACAGGAAAATTCTCCAAATAAGCTAAAAACACCCCTCATCTTATTCTTGATCTCCACATTATATTACAAACTAGCCTTTGGGTTGCTGGTTTTAGCAAGGGAGAAAAATGAGAGGATAGGAATCACAGTGCTGTCTGAAGTGGTCTGTAAGACACGGCTCCCACATACCAGTGCTCCAGAAAAGCCATTGTGTTCTGCTGGGCTTATTCAGTAATTGTCCTTGGTTGTTGATAAACTTACATTGGCCAAAGATGACACAGAAGATAGCTCAGGAAATTTCATGTCAAATGTGGAAATAAATTTTAGGAGGAAGGACTTAGGTATATGAGCTTAGACTTTTGAAGTTAACAAAATGTCATAGTGACCATACACTTATAAGAATTAAAAATTGGCACTGGTGTTAGGATAAAAGTTAGCATCTGGGAACCTGTGTTTTGAGGTCCACTGTGGGAAGTGCTTTTTGACCTTGTCTTCCCCTGGCTAATGTGTCTAAGTCATCTCTTGGAATTTTTTATTTTAAATCAGAGAAAGTCCGGTGGTCAAAGGCAATGCACTATTAGCCTTAAGCAGCCTTGCTGTCATTGTGTCCAAACATGAAGCGAGCCTCGCCTCAGATTCTGATGCCACCCTGGAGGTGAGTGAGGGTGACCAAAACCAGGTGGGCTTTGGTTCTGTCTCCTTACCTCTGGCTTTGCAAAGTTCAGATCTGCAGTTGCAGCGCCAAATTCCACTACATGATGGGTCTTCCTACTTCTTCCTGACTTTTGTTTGTTGCTTCTTCTGTTTTGCCTTTTCCTTCACGTTAAGTGGTCATTTCCATTTAAAAGTGCCAATTTTATGCAACAGGGGTTGTCTTTCAGTGATAACCAATCTTAGGAGGTTAACCAGGCTTACTGAAAATGAACAATGCTGTCAAAAATGATAAGCAGTGTTTACAGATTGAAAACGTTGTACTTTGCATTTTAATTATAAATGTGAATGATAAAGTGCCTATTCATTTTTGCAAGGCATTTATTTCTTAATTAAACATGTGGTGAGCTGGTCAATGTTCATTTCCAATGTACTTTTTCAGATAATTCATATCTGTCAAAATAAAAAAGACATGGATTCATTTTTGTTTTAAGCTCCATTATCTGGTAGCTGTCATTATCTGGAGACAGTGCGGAGCTAAATAGTTAAAAAGTACAGGCTTTGGGATGGGAGTCTTATCTTTAAGACTTACTGCTTCCACTTACTAGTTCTTTGTCCTATTTCTAGTAATCTTTCCTTTCAAAGGTACTTCCCCATCTGATAAATGGGGATTATAACATTTACCAGGTGGTGTTATTGTAAGAGTTAACCATGTAAGTTAATGAGTGTTTTGACATCTATGATCATGAGTGGGATCCCCCACCCCAATGAACCCAGGACTTTTGCACTGAACTACATCTCAGCCCTTTTTTTTTTTTTTTTTTTTTTTGGAGAGGGTCTTGCTAAGTTACTCACGCTATGCAAACATGCAGTCCTCTAGCCTCTCAGAATGCTAAGATTACACTCATGTGCCATCATGCCCGGTGATGTGACTTTTGTAACCAAATTTTCTTTTTAATGAAAAGAGTCTTTTGAGGGGAAAAAGTAGGGTCTTATCTTTGCATTCTCTTTTCCAAACTAAGGGTCGTTTATGTTTTCCTTCCTGATTTCTCACTTAGCTAGGTGGATATTGTCATGATTGTTGAAGGGCATTTATATGACAGTAGTAAGCAGAAATGCTAGAGATGTTGACCAAGCTTTTGTAGGTTGATTGCCTCATTTGGGCATTGACAAGTGATAAAATTTAGAAATTCTGAATTGTTTTTTTGTACATATCTCTATTTAACGTCTATATTATTTATACCATAATTCAGTGGACATAGGAAAACTCTGCAATGCTTTGGATATGTTGTCTTTTACAGTCCTTATTGTCTTACTCTTGCTAAGTAAGTCTTACATAAATGGTAAATATTCTTGTTAGGGAATAGGTCAGGATGTGTATTTCTCAAATATCTTTCATGTCATGCAAGTAGATGAAGTTTACTTTTTGATAATGGTACTTCATTATTTAATACAAGTAGGGGAGGTAGATTTGTTTTTTTAATCCATCATTTCTGTATCTATAGGTTCAACCTAATTTTCTTCCAATGAAAGAGTGGGTTTCCATGGTGCTTAATACACTTCTGGTCATTGTGGATAGCCATTACCAAGCCAGAGGACAGCTTTTCTCCTGCTTTTATCATGTAAGTGCAGTAAATAAAAAATTGGGAGAACCAGAAGTTGATCTGTTCTGACTTAAGTTGCTCATGTGAAATGCATGACGTGATGATTTTCAACTCTCGTTGTACATTAAAATTACCTGAGAAACTTAAATACACCTGTGTGTTTAAAGAAAAACTAACATATAGACCCCACTTCTGATTTAATCACTCCAGAATGGACCTGAGCATCAGCATTTTGAAAGCTCTATAGGTTTTTCTAATGTGTAGTCAGGGTCAGCAGCTACAGTTGTAGAATGTGGGAACTCAAGATTGAGTTTCTAGTCAAGATTTTTTTTGTTTTAGGGTATGTAACCATGAGAAGTTCTCTCAATCTCTTTTGACCTTTTTTGTTTGTATAACGTAAAAGGATTGAATAATATCTGTAATAATTGCAGCTGTAGTTTAACTCCTTAGTGGTTTTGCGATACTCTCATGACACCTAACCTTTATTATTTTTTTAACTTATCAAACAAAAGTAAACATTCATTCTTTGCCAACTCTTTGAGAGATTTTAAGGATCAAGTTATTTGTTATGTAAAAAATGTTTTGAAAACAGCAAAATAGTCTGTAAATTCAAAGTAATGTTGTTGATTATAACAAAGCAACAGTTATGCAGTCATTCTCTATCTTTATGTTTGTACCCTGAGATTTAAGGTGAAATGAAAACATACTTTTCTTTGTTTTCTCTTTATTGGTTGTAGGGTGTGTTTTATTTCTGCATGTGTTCCCAGAATTATTTTGATTTTACCTTATCAGTATCCATTGCTTAGGGAATTATAGTGATCATGGGACACTCAGCTGAGCGCAGAGGATTATAGTTGATTTGAATAAAATATAGTGCAAATACTGAACTGGTGCTAAGATCACAAATTTAGCCTGAAATCCCTTTCCTTTGGCCTTCTCTGTACATTTGTGTGCCTCTGTCCTCCTGCCCTTGGGAGGATCTGGTATGTATTCATCTGGGGCTTAGGGTGTGATGCTAGGTTTTCAGCCATATTTGAGGAAAAAGAAATGACTTAGCAGATAATGTAGAATTAAATTATAAGGCAAATTTTGCTGAAAGAAGTAATTTCTTTATGATGATTTACTTGTTTAGAAGATTATATGGAGGTTTTTGCAATAACTGTTAGGTTCAGATATATACTAGGAGAGAACATCATATGAAATTTCTAATAATTCTGCCTAGGTCTTGCAAACAAGATAATCTTTTTACTAGGCAGGTCAGAGTTGCCTCCTAACCTTGGTGATTTTTACATTGTTACATGTTTCAAAGCCCTGTTTCAAGTCACTTCCTTTGTTTCCTGTGTCCTTTGAATAAAATTGTCATCTCGAGTGTTTTATTAACTTAATGAATAACAGTATATTTTTCATTTTTAATCCTTAAAATACTATAGTTTAGAGAGCAAATAGACATAAAATTAAAAATATATTTTAATGTGCTTTCAGTGCTATGGACAATACTATCATTTTAGCATGTGTGAAAATTTTAAATGGATAATAGTAAAGAACAGCAAACAGGCTTTGTCCCCCACTTGAGGCATATTTATAAATGTGTGTAATGCCTAATAGAGCTGTCTTATATGCGATTCTTTTAGAAGCCATTCGTATTCAGCTGTCCTGTCATTTTATTAGGGCTGTTACTGAGTTCTTTTCCTATAATTATGTATATAGGAGCATATAGAGCTCTCCACTTCATTTTGAGTAGCTGGTTATTGCTTTGTAACCAGAGGCTTTTAGGATTTCAACTTCCTTTTTAATTAAAAGGAATTAACCCCCTGTAGGAAATAATCCATCTACTGGGAGGTGTTCCCACCAAAAATTTTGGGAGATGTGCCAATAGATTGTTGCAGGAAACTTATACATGTTTCCTTGTAGTATAACTTTTCTTTTTCTCTCGTTTTCCCCCCACTTTCTTGGAAAATTCTCTTTCTTGGACATTTATAATGTAGTTTGGTGGTTTGTCCAAGGTTGGATAGCTTCACTTTGGATTTTTTTAATATATGTATAGGCTTTTTGAGTCACTGAAATTGTTTCAGTCTTTATAGTAAGAGAGTTCACAGACTAAACATAAAAGGTGTATAATTTCCTTTTTCACATTTAAAAGGACCTTGTTTAGTAGCAATTTGTTTTATGGAGTAAAAACATAATCTATAGCAAACACAATTAGATGTATTTTTATTTTATTTCTTGGCCTGTGGGTCAAATCTAAGAGCCTGCATTGTTGTACAGCACTTTTGTGATAGGTGTGCTTCCTTCATGTTTGAAACAAAAGGCTAACTCCCTGTTTTCTTTCTTTGGAATGTCCTAGAAATCCTATTCTGGTGAAAATACAGCTAGTGCCATTGCCCGTTCTGCTGCTGCTGAGGCTTTGTCTCTCCTTGTTCCAGTTTTCATTATCTCTTGCAAAGAGAAGGTTGAGGAAGTCCTGAACATGCTGACTGCCAGGTTACCGGGGAAACCAAGAGCTGATGAATCTCAAGCTGTGCAAATCCACATGGGCCTTGCTTTGGGAATGTTTCTTTCTCGCCTGTGGGAGGAGAAACTCAGGTACAGTTTCTTAAAATATTCTTGTTTTTTCCCCTTTGAGATTTAGGTGAAGAATTTTGCACCTTTACACACACATCCCTAAACACTGTATCTGAACAGTAGGTAGTTGCTAAATTTTTTGAGATGGGCAGGTTGATTCTTTATACTTCTTTATGGGTGAATTTGTCTTTCTAAAATATTATCATATCAACATTAACGTATTTTAAGGGTTGCTATTTAAGTGGTTAGTTGCTTGAAAATCATTTCATGCTTAGATGACAGTCCCAAATACATCTGTTTTGTAGGTGTGAACAAAAATTCATTCTTATGGTGCAATAAAGAAAAGCTTCCTCTTTCCCCCTTATTTTTATGGGATAAATAATTACTGATCTTATACAGGTATCTCTGTAAAGGGGGAGAAAATGATTAGGGTCTTCCTTGTACCCAAAAATTGTTGAGAATCACTGAATTGCTTGAGAACTGCATTAATCAGTTTTAAATATTGCTTTTATCCTGTGCCTTGGCTATATTTTAATAATTCTTAAAGCATCTTAATCTGTGCTGTGTGCTTTACTCAGTTTGCATATTTATTTTTGGACTGCTGGCTGTACCTTTGAATGCAGCAAACAAAATAACAAAGCCTCAGTTGGAAAATTCCACTAAATGTGAAAGTGTGCTTGTGAATTAATCTGTTTTAGTTTTGTTGTTCATATCATTTATTCTTTGTTTTATAATAAACCTTAAAATTTATATGTATCCAAATTTATTTTAGTGTAATTGTATATTAATATTTGCTTCTCATAAGTATTTTGAAGCCAGTGCTTGGAATTTGGCCCCAATTTCTTGGTTGGAAATAGGATAGTAAGGAGAGGCGTCCTGTTGTGATGTTAGATGTCCCTAAACTTCTCTGGTTGACAGAAATGAGCAGTTTGAAGCAAAAATTGGTGTTGGTATAGATAAACTGGATGACATGTTATTTTTAGATTACAGTTTGAAACTAGTGTTTCAGGTTGCATTTGTAATTTACATCACTTTGCACAGGTACTGATATGTGAAACTTTATGAGAATTGCTATTCATCTGGGGAGATAGTATACTTCAGATGATCATTTTCAGCTCCCAAAACATCTATCAGATAACTGGAATGACTGGCTTAGTCTCTAATCATAAATGATTATGCACAGAATATTCTTTTTTTTTGGTATTGTGGATTGAACTCGGGCCCTTGTGTTTGTGAGGCAGGCGGCAGCACCACTGAGCTAAATCCCTGGCCCACCAGAATATTCATTTTGTTCTTTTCACCAGTGTTAATACATATAGGATTGATTCTTGGCATAACATAAAACTGCCCCTTGAATGGGATTGGACTGGTACATATCTTGTGTATATGATAGAACATAAAGTATTTTTAAAGATTTAAAACTTGAAAGGGATCCCTCCACTCCTTGCCACTATAATACAAATGACAGTCTCTTCACCATGTGTTCAGGCTCCTTTGTTGGCTTTTCAAGCAACATGTTTTACAGCTAAAAAAGATCTGCGACAGTTTAATTCTAGGCATCTCATTTCATCCTACCCTGGCTCTGGCTCCCTTCTTAACTTACGATGAGATGCTGCTGGTATTGCATTTGTGCTTAATTTAATCATGTTGCCTGCGAAACTCTGTGGCGATTCCCCTGGTGCACTTGTCCATGGTTCCTACAGTTGCTTTCCTTCTGTTCCTGTCTGTCTTAATTTGTACTTACAGGAAGTCCTAGGCAAAGACACCAGGAAGCTCTTCCCAGGGCTGAGTAGTACCCCCGGAAGAACTGCACATTGTAACTTTGCCTAGTTTCTGATGTCTCACAGCATCCTTCTTCTTACAGTTTGAGTATTGGTATTACAGTCATTAAGATAATTATGTATGACTCCTGCTATTTCAACTTTTTTGAGCAGTAGAATCTGAAATATTTGCCATTCTGTACTAATAGATGTTTTTACTAGATAATTACAATGTTTTTTGATAATGAGAATTTTGAACAAAGTTTCCTTTTATTTTCCTCCCTAAAATAAAGATAAGTGTTTTGAAAGGCATTAACTCTGAATAGTCTGTAAAATCAAATAAGTGGCCCAAAATAACCCCTTTGTGGGACTAGGATTAGGATAGTATATTGTTTCTTAGAGAATGAAAAATCACCTTGTAAAAAGAGAATTATAGCGATCCCTTTTTTTTGCTAAGGCTTATAAAAAAGCGTCCTGAATTTAAATTCCAATCTAAGACTAATTTAGAAAATATATTATTCCTGGTTTCTTGTTTCTATCATAATCCCCACAGGGTACAAGTATGATCTTATTACCATTTTTAAAATATTTTAGTATATAGTAGTTTACTCCAAAGAAAAATTTTAATAGAACTTGTACAGTTCAATCTGTTAAATCTGGGCGTGTGTGTGTGCGTGCGTGCGTGCGTGCGCTTTACACATTGCAAAATGTAATCCTTCATCTTGGGCAACATTGGCATAGCCTTGGTTTGAGAGGCCATTGTTTAAAGTGCTCTTTGGCTGACTGGCATTCTACCCAGCATTCCCCGAGGCAGCAGCAGTGAGTCCTGAGATGTAGGAATTCTGAATAATAGCGTGCTAGTGGTGCAGCCCACAGCTCTGCCTGGAAAAACAGCCGTGGAGCTACCTTTTAATCTTGTTTTGGTTTTTTTCTTTTTTTATTTTTTTTTTTCAGCTTTAATTGAGTTTATTGGTACATTTTAGGGGTACAGCACAGTTACATTCATTGTTGGGATCCTGTACCTCTGCATGGCAAGTCTTGATTCTCATTTTTTCCCCTTACCCCTGCCCTCCCTTCACCCTCCTCCCCTCTCCCTACCCATCTCACCTTCCCTACACCTTTAGCTCCTTTCTTCCCATTTCTCAATGTCAGTAATCTTATTAGGATCTTCTGTATTATTGCAGATTATTCACACCGGAGAAACTATTCGGTATTTACACATGTGTGACTTATTTATTTCACTTAGGAGTATATCTTCAATATATATGCATTTTCCTATGAATGAATCTATTTTCTCGTTCGGTTTTTTTCTTTTTTGGGGGGTTACCAGAGATCGAACTTGGGTCCTTGGGCTTGCGAAGCAGGCAGCAGAACCACTGAGCTAAATCCCCAGCCCCTGCTACCTTTTAATCTTTATGTTACTGTACAAGTTTTATTTTTCCACAAATCAATTATAAAACCACATAAATTATTATATAAAGATGGAAAAATGTACAGGTAGAGTTTTCCTCTTTAAAGTATTTAAATAAAGGAACAACTTATAACAACTACAGTTGAGGCCTTAGAAGTAACAAGCTTTTCAAGAAAGAGATTTGAAATGACTATTGACTATAGCAGCTTAATAGGTTACTAAATATTCTGTAGGAATATTCTGCAGTCTTAGAAAGTTTTGGAATTTTGGCTTGGATTTTTAGTTTTCAGTGGTTTATAATTTGAATATGTTGAAAAAAATCAAAAGTAGAAGCCTTAGGGTTTATCGGTGTGTAAGTGCTTATACTGTTCAGAAACCTAGTTATTGAGTGTAATTCATATATGAATCACTAATATTATTTTAACTTTTGAAAAAAAATGCTGGCATTTTGCATAGAACACTGAAAGCAAAGAATTTTATATTAAATATTTTGAACAGTTGAATATTTATAACTCATTTTCCCTTCTTGGTCATCATGCAGTGATCTATCTGGCCAACAGATGAACCTTCTTCTGATGAAATCTTTGGATGCCCTGGAAAATTGCTGCTTTGACACTAGTCTTGAATACAAGTATGATGTTTCCATTCACTTTCTAACAGACACTTAGAGATTGGTTCCTACTCTGATGTGATTCTCACATGCTGTCATGAAATACTTGCAGGGCCTAATCTTGAATGTTTTTGCGGAGAAATTTCAGCAATAACTTTTTAAAACATCTTAATTAATCCTTATTTTAAAAACCATGTTTTGACAATAGTTCACTGAAATATAAAGCAGCAAATTGATTTTATGGCTTAGTCTTTATATTACTAATACCTTAGATTTGCCTTCTACTTGTCTTATGAGGCATATGTCTGGAGACCTGGATGCATGATTTAACCTTTTTTTTTTTTTTTCTTTTTTTCATTTTTTTTCTTTTTTGAGATAGGGTCTCACTATGTAGTTGAGACTGACCTGGAACGCACTGTGTAGTCCAGGCTGGTCTTGAACTCACAGTGATCCTCCTGCCTCAGCCTCCTGAGTGCTGGGATTACAGGTGTGCACCACCACACCCAGCATGATTTAACCTTTTTAAAGATCTGCTGAAATCATTTGAATTTAATTGGGCTAAGGAGAATCTTTGATGATTTTTATTTTCCTTTGAAATCCATTGGCTGAAAAATCAAAATGGAAATAAACATTTGTTATACCAGGAGTTTTTACCCTGCTTAACATTAATGGACCTTTCCCTCCCCCATCTTATGCTTTTTAAAGATTTTGTCCATTAAAACTAAGTATGTTAATTGTTTTCTCATTCTAGTAGTGAAAAATAACAAAAATGAAAAGGAATACTCAGAATAATTTTTAAAGTACTTTTTATTTTTAAAAAATTTAAAAAATACTCAGACATTTAATGTTTCAGTTAGTCTCTACAACTGGTGAATATATGCTTTTGTGAATATATGCTCACTATATGAGAAATCTGATACATTGAGCCCACCACAGATCTACCTAGTACCTTTTTGAATTTCCACATTTTGGAACCTTCGGTTTGACTTTTCTGGGGTTCATTGTTTCTAGGAAGCACATTAGGTTATAAGCATTAACATCTAATGTATTAACTTACTCATTTTTTGTGTAATGGGCACTGTTAAAATATGAGTTAAGTCATATGAAGTCATAAGAAATGTTTACATTTCTGGACTTTAGAAATTTATGAGATAAAACTACATTTGCATCTAGTCTGTTCAGGTCAGACTAACAAAAGAACAAATGAAGTAGCTGTATGTATAAATGAATTCATTTTGAGTTAATTCTGTCAAATGTCCACTTAGTAGGTGGTGGTTATGGGTTCTTCATCATAGACGGGCTAAGACTGCATAGGAACGTCAATCCAGTTTACCAAGAAACACTTAAGGCTTAAATGACATTGCAAATGACACTGGGCTTGAATGATGACGTGGTGGAAGTCTCTTGAATGGGAGGGATAGGAACATTTCACTGTTATTTGTGTCAACTGAAGTGTGGAGGTTTTAAGGCTAATGTGTGCCCTGATATTGTTGCTTTTTACAACCAAGTAGCTACTTTTTTGTGACATTCTTTACCTCTCTTTCTCTCTTGCCCTCGCTCACTGTCGTTCTTCCTGTTTCCCCCTCACACAGGATATTCATGTAACTTGGAATAATATAGAATTGGGAAAGATTTGCAATTAAGGTGCTGCAAACTTTCAACCAGTTAGAAAAATTAGGGATGACTTTCACATATTATCCTCGGTGGTTCACAGGAAAGTTGTTTAAATAACTATAACTTATTTATGTATAGTATAGATATTTATGTACTTAAAACTTCACATAACTAAGGACATCTAATTGAAAAATCCATTTTTGTTATTGATAAGATTATTTCTTTGTTTTTACCTTCTTTTCTGATTCTTACCTTCTTAACAACAGTTAGAGCTGGGAAAGGGAAGGGTAGATCTGAACAGCGAACTAGTCCTGCAGAGAAAAGCAGAATGGGGACTTCAGAAACTTCCGACCCCTTACTGAGCAGGGCTGATCTCTCAGAGCCCAATTAAGAGCTCACTACCTGCGCAAAGTCCTTTGTGTATCCTCTCCAAACCCCTATTACTCCTACAGTTAATTAAATTTTTAGTAATTTCTTATTCCCTGATATTTTGTAGTTGTCAGTCCTATGTATGTAGTTCTGTCGCTGGTTTTAAGATCAACTGACACAGCCCTGTACTGAACTAGGCATTTTCATATTGTTTCTCATTTAGTTAGGTCTTTGTCGTGATACAGTTATGAAGCTAAAGCAAGAATCACTCCCTCTTTGGCTTATAGACAAAGAGACACTGAGATAGACGTATTTTGTTTGTTTTTTGAGGCAGGGTCTCACTATGTAGTTCAGACTGTCCTGGAACTCACTTTGTAGCCCAGGTTGGTCTTGACTCACAGCAATTCTCCTGCCTCAGCCTCCCGAGTGCTGGGATTACAGGCGTGCACCACCATGCCCAGCTGAGGTAGACTTTTTCAAGGGTATGTGCTTCCCAAGTGGCAGAGCTAGACAGGAGCCTAAATCATCTGAATTCAAAGCCATTTTTCTTTCTCTTGCATAGTACAATGTGGAGAACACATTTAATTGGAAACGAGCAATCTGACTTGACAATGTTTTTGTTTTTGTTTTTCTGTCATGCAAAGACTGATTATCCTGGTTTTCTAACTACTCCCTGTCCTGAATGCCTGGCTTGCGGTGTTAAAACTATTCCTGTGGAATAGGATCGCAGGGGTCCAGAGCAGTCTTCCGTCCAGTGAAATAGGGGCAGCATTACTAGGGAAGTGGTTAATAGATCTGGGAGCGTGCTACCTCACGTGATACAATTCTCGCAGAAGAAATTCGCCACGCTTCTGATTTAATGGACTTTTCCTTGCTGAGAGCCAGGCACTGACTGCCTCACCAGTGTTTGTGGCCCTGTCGCTTGCTGTCTGCCGCCATCTAATGGTTGCTTGTTCTTGTCCCACTGCTGTCCTCAACCATGTTGTCATTCTGTCCTTCACCTAAGGTTTGGTTAATTACTGTTGAGCTTTACAGATACAGTAACATTTGTGTAGCACTTCGTAAAGGGAAAATGTTCACTGTTATTAGAACTGATTATTAGATGACCTTGTATTTAATTTGCAGGTTTGCCATCGGTAAACTAGGGTATTCAAGACTTATCTCTGGTTAATTTAGAAAAATTTGTCATTGTGTCTCAGTTGATATAACGACAAAAATATCAGAATTGTATAGCTTTTCAGGGTTTCTTTTTACTGGTGACATTTTAATATACTTTGAAAAGAGATTTAAATAAGTAATGACATTATAGACTTACAAATCAAGTTCTGTTAGACATTTGTTAGATTTCCTCTAGAACATGTTACCAGTGTCAAAGTTTGACTTTATACTTGATATTATTATTTTTATTTCCACTTGGCTGAGATATAAAAATAACTCCTTTTTGTTTTTAGTTTTTTTTAAATTTTTTTGAGACAGGGTCTCACTATGTAGTTGAGACTGACCTGGAACTCACTACATAGCCCAGGCTGGTCTCAAACTCACAGCGATCCTCCTGCTTCAGCCTCAGTGCTGGATTACAGGCATGAGCCACCACACCCAGCTCCTTTTCGTTTTTAATGGACAGAAATATGTGAACGCTTCCTTTCTGTCCCAATTATTCTAGGTTTAGAGATGGCAGACATATCTAACAGTACCTAGAGTGAGGTAAATGTGTGAACTAATAGAAATGGTGAACTAATCACCTGGTGAAGTCTTTAAGGCTTAGGACAAAAATAAATACTTTAAAATGTAGAAGATTTGAAATCAGAAGGAATTAAGCTGTAGGAATACCTAGGGATATACTAGGAAATTGAGAAAAGTAGAAGGGAACTATGAAGAAAGCCAGCTGATGCATACCCACCAGCATTTATGTTGGTACATGTACAGACGTATAAGGTAGGGTATGTATTCATGTGCTACAGCTTTTTGTTACTGTAGCCATGAATACATTCATAATATCTAATAAGAATAAAAATAATTTCTATGAAAACCATTAGGTAAATATGAAAAGTAAACTGTCTTTTTTAAACCTTTGTACCTGTGTATCTTGGGATGCTAAGAAAAGAGCATCAGTTCAGGTGATAGAGATTTTTGTAAGTCCAGGATAACTTGAAAAGCAGGACCTAGATGTTGGCCTGATTATTGAGAAAGCTGAACCCTAATGTTTGAGTCAAGCTTTAAGAGAAATCCTTTCTCCACAAACAGCCTGTCTTTTTAAATTGCCTAACAAGAAATAGAAGTTAATTTTTCTTGATTGAATATTAAGATATGTTTTATGAGTTTTCCCACTCATAATTATGTTTTGGTTAAAACTACAGCATAAGTATCATGTTTTATGTGAATTTCTTTAACTGACTTTTATGTCTTCTCTGTAGAGCTGTTGTCCATTTTAAACCCTCTTACAATTCTCCAGTCAGTTCTTGGACAGATCTTGGTCAGTTCTTGAGCAGTTGATAAATTTTGATTGAACACTTACACACAGCAGACAGTGTACTAGGTGCCACAGGTACTGCAGCTAGGAACTGTGGAAAAGGCATCGGCCCTCATGGAGTTTGCAGACTAGGGAAGAGATAGAAACCAGTTTCCTACATCATTCTCATCAGAATTTGTAAGATTGTAGAAAGCAAGTTCATACAGGATGCTGGGGAGGAGCATTAAAGAGGTTTCCTCCTGGGCCAAGAAAGGTGTCCCTGAGAGAAAAACATGTCATTACATAGTCAGAGGCAGTGCAACAGTCAAACTGTCAAAGTATTCATCAGTCTGTGTCTAATTATATCTTTGGCTTAATTCTGTCAAATTTTTGTCTGCACGAATGTAGAATGATAGCTTAAAAAAAGAACTTCCCTGTAGGTTCTAAATTAAACCAAAGACTTTAAATGTATACCAATCAGGAATAGCCTTTCTTCCTTTGGAAATTTGGTTTTCTTAAAGGCATGTAATGGTTAGACGTTGGGCGTTACTGCACTGCTTGGAAGCACAGTGTGCTAGTTGAGCTTGTTAGGTCCATGTAAGCCATGGCCGCATTCGGCCTGACTGGTGACATGTGACGGCTGCAGCAGCCTCTTTACAGTGGCTTTTCCAGGGCCAGGTTGTCATGTAATAGAAACTAAAACTGAAAAATGAGAATGCCAAAGATATGTCACCTTCTCAGAGGCTTCACGGAGGCCGCTCTGAGATAGGTGTAAGGTTTGGCAGGTGGAACAAAAGGCCAGGAACCAAAAGTCCCCTTGTTCAGGCCGTGTTCTGCCCAAAGCTCTCTGTGTGACCTTGAGCAAATCCTATGGCTCTCCATCCTGTTGGGTTTGTGCTATCAGATGTGGACGTGTATCTGCACAGAAGTGTTGGGGGAAAGTTAGTAATGTGTTCATAAAATGATGAGAGGGTTCTTGATACCAGCCAGAGTTATAGATAGCATTTAAGAGAAAAAGGACATAACATTTGGGCACTGAAATACACATTGGAGAAATTCCCTACCGTGTCTCTTCTTAAGCAGCAGAGAGCATGATGAGAGGCAAGTCAAAGAAGAGCCAAGAGGATTTCAGGGGTGGGGTGGGGGGACTCAGTATTTCCTCCAGTTAGCAGTCCTGATGACAAAAACTTAAAAAAAGTAAAAAATTGCCATGAGCAATCACCTTGTCATACTGTCTTGAAGCTTTGTGAGAGAAGAGTTCTTTTCTTCTTCTTTCAGGAAAATCGGGGCATAAAGCCCCACATTCCAGTTGCATTGTCACATGGGGTAACTTTTGACAAGACTGTCATTTGTCCATTTTATCTTCTGACCCAGTGGTACTTGGAGAGATCAGAGGGTGGAGGAAGATGAATGTCATTGTACACAGATGAAGTTGAAGTCAACTAGGAAACATGAAGCACTCAGTATACCTCCTAATCCTGCCTTGCATTCCTCTCCCTTGTTACTAGTCAGATGTCATCCTCAGCTCATGTCTTGAAGTGTAGCTTTCTCTTCCCATATGCACACAATTGTAGTGTTCTCAACATAGGTAGGAGTGAAGGACAACAGCCTTTCTGTTGGGGCAGAAATAAAGCTGTTTTATGTCTCTTTTTCTCAACATAGAGCTTCAGTTAGACCATCTCCTGTTTTTCTTTTTGTCCAGAGAGTGAGGAGCCACTAGCATGGGCCATGCATACCTATTTTGATATAGTTTTCCTGGTGAGGGGAGAGGTGGTTATACCTGTTGTCAATCATGGAGCACATTTATAGACTTGATAGATAGGAAAATTAGAACCCTCCCATCTGACTTCACTTTTGGAGCACTGTGAATTCCTATAATATACAAAGAGCAGTTATGCAGATTTCTCGTGATTCTAACACCTTGTCCTTTTTGGCATCCAAGCACTGGCTGTGTACTGGGAGTTGGACTTGTTCTGTCTCTCATGAGCCACAGCAGCCAAACGGAGTCTCGGGTTCACGTGGCAGCATCACTGAGGAAGCTGTCTGCACACCTAGATGCCAGTGGGAGCCAGAGCAGGACTTTTCAGGAGGTAGGAGATGAAGGGTGTGCTTTTCTTCCCTTTGCTGTCTTTTCTTTTCTTGTTGCTGCTTATTTTCTACTCATTTTTTGGTAACCCTATAAATTAAATTCTTTCTCTATTTCAACTGTAATGAAGAGAAAATATGAGCGGCAAGCAACTGTATTAAATGCTGAGGTTTTCAAATTTTGTGGCTGTATAAATCAGCTTAGATTTAAATGTGGCCTATGAGATAAGAGCCTTTAGTGAACGCAGAATCCCAAGTCAGCAGCACTAGAAGGCTCTTCCAAAGAAGAAGAGTTGCAATTTCTGGAAGATGGTTATATGGAAATTTTTAGAACTGTGCTTAAACTAAATGTAACTTTAAAAATAACTAGGCATAAGCTTAAAAATACTGCAGATTGAAAGGGATTTGATTCTTGTTTTTTCCAACAGCCCATGAGCCTGAAAAATTATCAAGAAATTCCTTTTATTACACAATATGGCAGAAAAACACGCAGAATTGGAGTACATGTGGCATAGTCTGCGTGTGTTAAGCCCGTTGTGAGGGAATGCTAGGCCTTTGCCATGCCCACCTCTGTAGTGCCCAGGTGAAGCTGAGCTGCCTGCCCTGCTTTGGGAGGAGTGGGGTGACCTTGTGGCCAGCCGGATTCTCCTCCTCTTTAGAGCAGATTCTGTTGTATCCCAGCCTGCCCAGGAGCTATTGATGAGCGCATAATGGCTGCTGTGTTCCCGCTCAGCTCCTCTGCTTTCAGCAGTAGGACTTTTTGTTGAATTGGTGGATTTCTTTGGGGCACAGAGGGTGAAGTTTTGTTCTAAGACATGCACCACATTTCCATTTTTAAAGCGGTGTATAAAGCATGATTTCAAAGTACATACTTTTCGAGCCAAAGGAGAAACTTGTCACCAAGGAACGATTTGATTAATACATGAAAGCAAGGTTTTTATAACTGATGCATCTGTCTGTTTTGATGATTTGATTTATAAGACCTTAAGCAGTTTTTTCCTCCCTTCTGATGTTTTATTGTCCAATTTCTACCTTGAAAGCTGTTTACAGTTTTCATGAATCAACCCTTAATATGAGCTGCATTTTCCACTTTATCTTAATAGCATCCTTCTAAGGAAGGGTTTTATTATGAAAATACAAGGTAGCAGGGAGGGGATAATGAATCCTTGATTTGCAGAAATTGAGACTGCGATTGAGTGACTTGTTCAAAGTTACTCATCTGGTAAATGGTCAGTGGGATATACTCCTAAGTGTTGTCTCCACTGCCAAGGTTCTTTCTCATTTATGTATTTATTAATTTGTTTATTCATCTGTTTATTTACTTAGTAATTTTTTACTACAGTGCAGTAAAATAGCTAGTGTTATTCCCATTTTACATAATTTAACTCCTGAACATACATTTCTGTCCTAAGTGTGCTGCACCACTTCTGGGAAATCTTAACAAAACTATGTTTCATTTCTTTGTACTTCCTGTCCTGTGTGGCCTTGGGCAGGATCATTAGCAGCCATGACTGTCTGTTTTCTTCTGCTGTTGATAGGTGTTCTGTTCTGGCACAGTGTGTTGAGGAAACTTTGGCTTAGAAACTGAAGGCCTGAGTTTGAATCCTATTTCTGTCTGCCACCTATTTGTAATTGTCTCAAGGCCTCATTTAAGCAGTAGAAGTAATGATACTCATGACATTGTTATTACATGTATGTATTTGAATGCAGTACTTACCTTGGGTGAAGTCCGGTAAAATATCTGTGTCAGCAGTCATGTTCTTTGATTTTACCTCATAAAAACGTTTTGTGCTGTAACTTCCTTCCCAGGTCCTTGCCTACACCCTTAGCTGTGTATGCACATCTGCATTCAGTGCTGGCGTCATTGAGGCTGTGGAGGCTGAAGATATTATGAACAAGCTTCGACTGTTGGTAGAGAACAGCCAGCAGGTTGGAATATGTGCCTTAATTATTGCTCTCTGTGGGTCTCATTTGCTCTTCAGTCCTACTTTTGAGTACTCTGAGTTAGGCTGTGGCAGAAGTTTTTCACGTCTAGAGCTGAGGAACTTTTAACTATTCTCTTTTCTTACTACTGCGGCCAAGTCACACGTTTCTGTTCTCCCTCTCTTTAATCCCTGTTGTCTTCTAGAGAGATTTCTCTTCTTTGAAAGTGTATTGATATGCTTCCCCCATCTACTATATATTTACAAAATTTTAAAATATGTGGCTAGAGTATATAAAACTTGCATGAGGGTAACAATAAAAAAATTCGTAAAGGTATGAATACGTAAAAAAGTCTTATAAAGTCAAACTTTATAAACAGGAAATTCAAGGCAGAACATCTCTGCCCATGTCAAATCTGTACAGGAATAATTGAATACCTATAAATGAAATACTCTTAAAATGGTCTTTCTGAAATATTATTCAGCCTTAAAAAGAAAGTTCTGATGCATGCTACAACATAGATGTACCTTGAGGATATTTTATTACATGAACTGAGCCAGTCCCAGAGAAATGCTGCATGGTTTCACATGTGTGAGGTACTTGAGTAGTCAGAATTACAGAGACAGAAAACAGAATGGTGCATGAGGGGCTGTGTGAGGGAAGGATGGAGACCTCCTTGGTTCAGATAATACATTTTATGTGTATTTCATTACAATCAAAAGAATAAGAAAATTATACCTCTAATCTCACCTTCTATATAATTTCCCCACTGGGTTTTGCTTTTAAAAGATTTCTCTGAATACTTAACGTTGTCCATAGTGGGTTACTGCAGAAGTAATTGGTATTGTTACTATTGTATGGTTGTATAATTGCTTTTCTGCATTTAGAATGTTTTATAAAATCAAAATGTAGAAGTTTTCATATGTTGTGCTCATTGTGGGATGTTTTCTCTTCTAGTTCAGGAGTTTAGGACTTGTGTAGTCTGCCTTTTACCTTTCACTCCTTCTGAGAATTTGGATTGTTTGAACTGAGTTCCTTAGGAGTACAGTACTTCCTAAGACAAACTACTCGATGCAGATGGACTCCTGCAGTTAGACTCGGAAGTTTTTGTTGCCCACTGTGTGTGTGTGTGTGTGTGTGTGTGTGTGTGTGTTTGTGTGTGTGTGTGCATGCGCGCACGCGCGCATGTGCGTATTCTCATTTTCAGGTAACATGTAAAACTTGAAAGGGGAAAGGGAGCTCCTAGAAATACTTATTTTGAGATGTGTGTGTGTATTTTTAAATATGTATATTTATGTTTCTAATTTTTTTTTCTTTTCTTTTCTTTTTCCCACCCCATTTTTATTTATTCCAAACAGACTTCTGGTTTTGCCCTGGCGTTAGGAAACATAGTTCATGGTCTCTCTGTGTGTGGACACGGGAAAGCTGAAGACTTGGGTAGCAAGCTTCTCCCTGCCTGGATCAGAGTTGTTCTTTCAGAGGTAGAGGTCACCATTTTTGTGCCATTTTTTATTTTCACAAAAGAAGAAGCTATTTTAGTGGACCTATTATAATATAGCTTAATAATAGAAGAACAGGCAATTCCAAAGAAAAGAGAGGTTTATTTTTAATCCTGTATAAATAGTACCTTTTGGCAGCCACTATAGTTGTTTTGCACACTGGATATTTTGTTATGGTATTGTATTGTAATTTTAAAGCAATGTTGTGCTTTTAAAAAGTGAAAACAAAAAGCTCCCTATGATCTAACAACCTTAATTATTTTTGTTTGCTGTGATTTTTGGGTGAATTAAGCAGGTTGTTGTGATCCTGCACATTCAGTACCACTTTGACTATTTTTCTTTGCAGTAATGACCTGTATAGAATCCAAACCCAAGGAGCATTTTTCTCATGATGTACTGTGATGCTTTATTTTTAGGAGACTCCTACGGTGCTTTGTCTGGCAGCTCTTCATGGCATGGTGGCCTTGGTTGGCTCAGAAGGGGATGTAATGCAGGTAAAGAAAGGGATCTGAATGTGTGCACAGCTATGGCAAGAGGAGAATACCCATTGTCTTAATATGCTAAGCACAGACAAATACATGCTCACAGTGATAATTGTACTAGGATTTTCAAAGCCTTGCTGTATGAAAAAGTGTTCTTGGCCAAGAATTCTTTCTGTAGAATTATTCTTTATTTGGTGTGTAGGGATTAAATTTTGCCAGTGTAGATACTTTCTATAAATTTCTCAGCCTGAACAAAGTGATTGAGTGCTAAGAAATTTAAAGAATCATTCACAGAAACTCCAGTTTGTACCTGTAATATTTAAGTTTATATAGAAGTTTTTTTTTTTTAATTTCACAATGATTTCACAGTGGACATATACACCTGTAAGTGTATAAGTAATTCTAAAGGAAGTCCTTTGTTCATATAAAACTTTGTTGTGTGACTGCTACATGCCACACTGCACAAATGCTAAGATATTAATCATGTATAAACCCCAAAATGGCCCATAACCCATGTGTTTGAATTATAAAGACATATGATAAATTATTCCATAGTTTAGAAGGAGACTGCTCATATACGGGGAATATAATTATTTACTTTTTATTTGGGAGGGTGTTGAATATTTCTCCTTATTCTTTCAGCTAAAGTCAGAAGCTATACAGACTTCTCATTTTCAAGGCCGACTTAATGAAGTCATTAGAACTTTAACTCAGGTAAGAAGAATTTAAAATCCTTGGATGGAAAACAGATAATCCTGTTAATCATTTTTTCTTATACATGATCCAAAATGTTTTACTTGGAAAACGTGGAAGTCCTTGGCTATTCGTGCTGAGCTGAAGGGGTGTTTGGGAGTGGTGTGTGGTCCTGTCTTCACTGACAAACACGCAGTACCTGTGGACAAGAAAGAAAGCTTGCATATTTGGTTAAGTTGATACTGATTTCCCTTAAAAATTGAAACCTGACCTGCAAGGAACGTTTGGCTTTCAGGATAAGGAAAACTGGAAAGTGATGAAGGTGATCAGATATCTAGGAAGAATGGTTGAGGCACTAATTCAGATGTTACGGCTGAATGTTTTTGGGTAAATCATTGTTACAGTTAATTGTGGCAGAAGAATAAACATACCCATCTGCTAAGAAGTGTTTATATCTTTAAAGATTTTATTTTAAAATTGTATGTCATTGCATAAAATTGGAAAGAACAGAATGCAAAAAGCTAAAAATATGTCATGGGTGGTCTTCCAAACTACACAGTTGCTGCTAATGTTTGGTTATGTTTTTTCAAGCATTCTTTTTTTTTGTTTGCATGATTGGCACTCTTTATATAGAATGTTATATCTTTTCATTTATATCTTTCTTTTCTTATAAAACACAGCTATTATAATGCCCCTCACATAAAGACTTCTAATAATTCATGCTTTAAAAGCAAACAGAAGTCTCTGAACAAGCTCTTTTCCACGTATGAATATAAATATGCTCAGAAAAGAATTTTACTGAAACTTAAGTTTCTATACCTGAGGGAGGAAAATCTGTAAATGAAAACTATATTTTAAAATGCTTATTAATGATAAAGCAGTAATAGAAAATTATGTAGAGGTGAACAGAGTAATATCTCCTAGTTTTTAGAGGTAGTTTAGTCTTAAGTAGCCTGCCCTTCTTTTCTACTTTTAAAATTTTCTTTTAGCGTTTTTTGAAAATCTTTTGAGAGCCCTCTGACTCAGCAAAACCTGAGAAAACGTGTAGCACTTGTACTTTCTACCCTCATTGATCAAGTGGTTCATTCATTAATTCAGCAAAAACTTACTGAGCACACAATCCAAGTCTGGTGTATGAGACACATATCACACCTTGTCATAGAACTTCGCATTGCCAGCCAAACCACTACCTCATAAAAGATTAGTGACTGTGCCTGACCTTTTATTGAATGGAACTTGGATCTTGCCCATCATTGAACTGTTAAATTTTTATCTACAGATCATCAGTGTCTCTGGGGTGATTGGTCTTCAGACAAATACAATCTGGCTTCTAGGGCATCTTCATCTGTCTACTCTGTCCTCAAATCAAAACAGAACCTCAGGTAAGATGACAGTCTTAAAACCCGGGAGCTAAAGGCACAATGGTTCTGTACTTTGTTAACAGCACTAACCTCCACAACAACCCTGCGTGGTGTGTATTACCCCCTCTACTTTATTTCAGTTAAATGGGGTGTGGAGACACTTACTTCCTGACTCAGTCACGTGGCAGCAGACTTGTGGGCTTGTGGTTTGACCCCCAGACCCCTGTGCACTCATTCATCCTCTCTGCCTCTCTTAGAGGGTAGTGTATCCCTGTGTCGTGAACCTTTTGGAGCTTTCAGAGATACAGATGGCCTGCTGAGGCACTCATGCCATAGACTCCCCACTGCTCTGAAGGTAGTCTAAGCCCCTATTTTGCAAATAGAGCATCTGAGACATATAGAATTAGTTCAGTGACAGATCCAGATATGAGAAATGACGTCCTTGAAGATTGGAGCAAACCTGTTTTACTAGATGTAATTGGATTGTGTTTCATTAAAGTCTCTTTATATATAACAAGAATTTTTTCTGGTGCTAGTTATATGAGTACAGTGGGTTAAGTACATTTAAAAATGTACACTTTCCTGGGCTGGGGATTTAGCTCAGTAGGTTTCACTGCCTTCCTGGCAAGCACAAGGATCTGAGTTCGATCCCTGGTACCAAAAAAAAAAAAAGAAAGAAAGAAAGAAAGAAAGAAAGAAAAAGATGTGCACTTTCCCAACCATAGAATTGAAAGTCTGAGTCTTAATAAGTCATTCCCCTGTTTGTAGCTTTTTGATTAAAAAAAAAATAGTTGTGATCCCTGCATGATTAATTTATGTTTGTACTTGGAGATTTTCTTGGAAAAGTTCTATTTTGGTCCCAGGCCAGAGATATTAGATACTGAAGATTCTTCACTGAAATTTCCTTTCACTTATCACTGATGGATAGTCTACTAACACGGATGTAAGCCATTGTGGTTGTTGTTTTCCTCACTTCACTTGCTCTGTAGCTATAAAAATAAGACATTGGTCCACAGCCTTTCCAACATAATGAACTTTAGAGGGCTGGAAATTGTCATATGAAAATGTGATAAAGAAAAAAAATCATATTTAAAAGCCTTGATAATACTAGTTTAGAAGGTCAGGGCATCATAGTGTCCTGATAAATTAGCGTATTTGTGTCAGACTTTTGCTGTTGTGTATTTTTTTTTTGCTTTTTGAGACAGGATCTCACTGTGTAGTTGAGAATGACCTGGAACTCACTATGTAGCCCAGGCTGGTCTCGAACTCACAGTGATCCTCCTGCCTCAGCCTCCCGAGTGCTGGAATTACAGGTGTGCACCATCACTCCCGGCATGTATTTGTTTTTTACATTGTCATGTTGTAGGATAGTTGGTTTGGCCCACATAGACTCAAATTAGGTAGTAGTGAATCATCCTACACCGGTTCTTCTGAAAGAAATGACTGTGTATCTTGAAAAATACAGCTAGTTGTTCCTGATGGAATTTTCCAGTTTAGCCATTTATTGCAGTAAAAACCATCTCATGAAACAATTGTGGGTAACTGGGAGGAAAAGGATTTAGGATTTTCTCAGGACTCAACTAGCATTAAATGTCATTGCTTCACCGTTAAAAGTCAGCAACTGCATTTGGTTTTTTGCACATGTTGGTCACTTTGAGGCACCTGCCTTAGTTAATATGGGGGCTGAGTTTCCATAGTTCATGGATCTTAGCCTGTCCTGAAGAAGTCCCTGGATCAATGTGATCTAACCCTTGGTGACCCGGAGGAGGTCACTACATTGGGACAATGTAGGAATTGTACTGATGTGACAATGGGGAAATAATTTTTTTAATCCAGTTTGGTATGTATTCGTGCTCTGTGATTTTTTTTTTTCAGCCTCTGCTAGTTTTACTACCATTTTAGATTTGCTGTATAGTTTAAGTGATTACTTCAAGGCCAGTCACCTAATCTAATAGAATTAGTTACAGCCACAGAGTATTGTGCTGAGATTAATGGCATAAACATCTCTGCTTTGTCTTTATGTTGATAGGGCAGTGAGAGATCATTATCTCTCCTTCATTAGTCTTGCCAAGTTCGCTGGTTAATTTGATCATTTTCTTTCTCCACAGTTCCTACCGACTATAGCTATTTGCCTGAAAACAGTTTTATTAGAGCAGCCATTGGCTTCTTCATGACAGGAGGGAAAAAAGGCAAGTGAGCACATTTTTTGGATTTTTATCATTCTTTCTACATGTTAAGGAAGTTTGTGTACCCTAATTATGCTTCTGTAGAATTAAACAATACAAATCTCAAGGGGGTGAGTATTTTCTTCTGCTAAACCAGCATCCTAATTGCTGCGAAAACATACACATTCTATGGTTTCAAAATCACAGCCTCTGATTTGGGTGGTTCTGTGGATGCCTTAATCTTCTATTTGGCCCTTCAAAAATATAAAATACACATTGCTTTTTCTGTCAGTTTCAAGTGACAGTGTGATCTAAGCAGAGAAAGCAGTTCTGGGTTCAGTTTCTGTCCCAGAACTGCCTTGGAAATAGGTCTTGTCTCTGTGCTATGTATGATCACACTGTGAATCCCTGCTTCTGCTTACTATTTTTGGTTTTTTCTCCTCTGTAGATATTTGTCCTTTTGTGATTCTGTGTTGTTATCACCCAGACTAGAACATAAGCAATTTAAAGATGTAGATTCTGTGCCTTTTATTTTACCTGGAGCCAGAATAATACCGTGAAAATTATTAAGTAAGTGCTCTTTAACGATACATATATACTTTTCGGAGCTTTGCAAAAAAAATTAGAAATGAACATGTCGTGACTTAGGTACTAGCTTCATTTATGTAATACTCTTTAATTGATACTTGCTAATTTCATTTTTTTTCCTGGCTGGCCAAAATCGGCATCTGTCTTATAACAAGACCATAATTTTTGAAAGAAATAAAGCTATAAAATGAATTAAAGTTATAAACTAGAAATCTGGAGGAAATAGTTTGATTAAAGAAGGTCATGGAAGAATAAGATCTTACCACTGGAAAGGAGGTAAAGGTCATGTCATCTCATTTCCCACTGGATACAGTAATGCCTGGAGCTTCCAGATTTTAAACTGTTTTTGTACCCTGAAGACACTTTCCTTTAGTTTCAGGAGTTCTAGAATATATGCTATTATTTTAGGGTTATGTCATTTGCTTTTAATTATCCTCAGTAAAAATATGTAAGTATGCCATCATTGCACGTAATATATAAATATATATTACATTTAGTGTACAAATTATTTTATTGGCTATTTAAAATAGATATGAGAGATATCTTCATTAGTAAGAAATTGAATTCTTAACTAAATATCTAAAATTGATATGGCTAAAATAATAAAGCTTTACATTTTTGCTATATATTTTGTAAGGTTATACATTGTTGTAAAATTTTGGTAATGTGAGTTATTTGCATGAGAAATAAAATCAGAACTGTTCGGTCAAATGAAATGTTATTTTGGCTCGTGAAGTTCCTATTTCTTGGCACAAAGGACCTCTCTCTGAACCTTGTGGGGAGTTCTTGGTGAAATGTAGTATTTGTGTGATTACGCAGTCAGGGTACAAGAGGGACTGTTGTGTGTAAGACTGAAAAAGGAGACGGGACTGGGAACAGCACCGTGATGCGTGGTCTTGCCGAAAGCTGCTTGAAAGCAGATAAATGCAGTATCAAAACAATGCCATATTACCACTTGGGTTTTGGTATTTTCAGGTTGTGGGAGAGGGCTGCCTTTTTGGCAGATTTGCCAACTAGATTCAGAGGAAAGTCCATTCAACCTCACACATTACTAATGATGACCCCAGAGGGGTGAGGGCCGTGGGAGGCTGACCTCCGCCTTGAAGCCCATTTACAAAAACAAAACCAGACCCTGCTCTGTGGGACTAAGTGGGATGGCCCAAAGCGGAGGTGTGCATGCAAACGAGTGTTTCCTTCTTCAGTATGCCTAGCTCATTTGAATGTTAATAACTCTTCTGAAGCAGCTTTTGAGTGTAAATGTCTGGATGTCACTCACCAGAGCCCATTATGGCTGCTGGTAGGAAGGATGACAACTTTGGTGAACTCTTTTGAGGGAGAAATTGTTGTAGAGAATAAAAATCATGCTTGGGATAGGCATAAAACAGAGAATGTCAGGGATGGCCTGGTTTCATTGCTTCGGAGTGCTACTTCTAACTTCAGTAATGAGTGAGAGAGGAGAGATGCTGAGGTTCTCTTTGGTCCACTCTTACACCAGGAGGAGACTGGGCATTGCGATTTCCATCATAACCAATCAGATTTGAGATAGCATATTAACTACTGTTAGTCTGCTTCCTAGTACTTAGGACTTTTCACATTTTGAATACTCCCTTTAATGCATCTCAGAATTTTTTTTTTTTGATACCGGGGATTGAACTTGGGTCCTTGTGCTTGCGAGGCAGGTGGCAGAACCACTGAGCTATATCCCCTGCCCAAAACTCCCTTTAATATTTAACTGATAGACTGTGCTAGAGGTTCATGGGCATCTACTCCTCTAATTGGCCAGCACTATAAAAGCATACTAGGTAGATGAAATTCCTTCGGTTTTAAAAGAATTCAGTTCATGGCTTTGGATATAATTTTTGGATGTACTACGTGACATTCTCTCTTCTCTGTTAGCTCTGGACTACTTCTGTTAGGTATACTTTTAACTTTTCTCATCATTGTTTTCTATGCCTGTAGACAATTCTTGACTGTGTAGGCTTGAAACCTTTGCTCACAGGTTATTCCTGCTGCCATAAAGTTGCTTTTGCCCCTGTAGGCCTCTAATTTTTGTTTCTTACCATTTTTCCTTCTGTTCCACTCTTTTAATCTTTTTCCTGATTTATGATCTCTGTTTTCTCAAGCTCATATTATGTTCAGATTTTATCAAGATTTTATTCACTACTTTTTTTTTTCATTTTATTGAGTTTATTGGTACAATCTAGGTATACAATACAGTGACATTCATTATTTGGATCCTGTACCTTTATATGATAGGTCTTGATTCTCATTTTTTCCCTTCACCCCCTCCTCCCCTCCCCATTTACAAACACTTTATTTCCATTTTTTCAGTTTCTCATATTTTTTTCCTCTCTCTTATTACCTTTCCCCCACCCTTCCCACTTTCCCTACACCTTTAGCCCTTTACTTCCTATTTCACATTATTAATTATCTCAGTAGGATCCTGTGTACTATTATAGTTTTTGCACCAAAGAAACTATTCGGTATTTCAGCTAAATCTCTGTATGAACATTAAAAATAGGGAATCCTACAATAAAACTAAAAAGTAAAGTAAAAGAGAAAAGGCAATGATGTAATATTAAAGTAATCCTTAATTCTGGTGATGAAAATTGTCCCCGAACATATTTAAATTGCTCCATGCTCTCATAGTCTTATCTTATTCTTTTTTTCATTATTTAGAGAATACTTTATTAGTTTTTGTAATCAAACCCACGTAGTTATGACCTTACATATTTAGTATGATGTGTTACCCCTGTACACATGGAAAAATATAAAAATAAAAATAAATTAACATTTCTAGACCAATATGGCTGTCCATTTCCGTACAATGCCAACTCAACATAGTAAATTAGGATGACTTTTTCCAAAGTTGACAGCACCGTTAAAGTTTCCCAAAATTCAATTTATATATATATGTATGTATATAAAAGGACTAATAATAGTATGTTATACATCGATGGCAGCAACAGCTTTTCCAGGTTCTGCAGTCATCTGAACAAGATTATAGACATTCAGCACATTCCATTAAAAACAAAACAAAACAAAAAAACAAAGAAAATGATATCCAGAAAACAGCAAAGTTGTGTTGCTGTTGTGGTACCTGGCACCATTTTTATTTTATTAGCATCTTAATCATCATCTGGAAAGAGAACATTCTAGAGTGATATCATTAAATGTAGCTCTGATAAAGCACAGTCCCTACTATGTATCATAAAGCAGGTACAAGATTTTACATTCATAGAGGTATGATACAGTACCGTCCTACATCGATAATACTAGAATCAGTTTTGGTTTGAAATTTACTTTGTCTGCAAATAAGATTGCTACCCCTGCTTTTTTCTGGGCTCCTGTCACATGGAGAATTATTTTCTATCCTTTCACTTTCAGTCTATGGGCTTCATTTTGCACTAGGTGTGTTTCTTGTATACAACATGTTGTTGGATTTTGCTTCTTATTCCATTTTGCCAGTGTATTTCTCTTGATTGGTGAGTTGAGGCCATTGACATTGCTGGTTATAACTGATATATACTGACTTACTACTGACATGTTATTGGCCTTTTGTTGACTCTTTTTACTTTTTCACCTTCTCCTTTTAATTTCTTGCCTTGCCTATTTGATTTGCTCTGTTGAGCCTCATGGTGGTGTTGCCTTCATTGTCTTTTTTTTTTTTTCAGCTTTAATTGAGTTTATTGGTACATTTTAGGGATACAGTACAATTACATTCATTGTTGGGATCTTGTACCTCTACATGACAAGTCTTGATTCTCATTTTTCCCCCTTACCCCTGCCCTCCCTTCAGCCCCTCCTCCCCTCCCCATCTACAAACACTTTATTTCCATCTTTTCATTATCTCACATTTTTTTCTTTTCCCTTATTACACTTCCCCTACCTATCTCACCTTCCCTACACCTTTAGCTCCTTTCTTCCCATTTCTCAATGTCAGTAATCTTATTAGGATCTTATGTATTATTTCAGATTATTCACACCAGGGAAACTATTTGGTATTTACACATGTGTGACTTATTTATTTCACTTAGGAGTATATCTTCAATATGTATCCATTTCCTATGAATGAATCTATTTTCTCGTTCTTTGTGGTTAATATTCCATTTTATAGAAAAACCACATTTTTTTTATCCAGTTTCCAACGGATGGGCAAATGGGCTGTTTCCAAGATTTAGCTATTACAAACTGTGCTGCTATAAACATGGGTGCACATACTTCTCTGTGATATGATTCTTTTAGTTCTCTTGGAAAGATACCCAGCAGAGCGATGGCTGAGTCAAATGGAACCTCCAGTCCAAGCTCTTTTTTTGAGGTATCTCCATATTGATTTCCATAGTGGTTTCACCAGTCTGCACTCCCACCAACAATGGAGAAGGGTTCCTTTCTCCCCACAACCCCGCCAATATTTGTTATTGTGTGATTTCTTGATA